TTCCAGAAGGTGGAGGATCATCGGAGTCCTGTCTTGTCCGTGTTCCTGAGAACTGCCCTGCCTGTGTGGGTTGAGTAGATGATAGGGATTATAGAGGGTTTAGTAAACTGCAGTTTACAGACTCTTTTTTCATCCTTTGACCTTGCATTTTCTACAGTCAAACAGGCAGGGCAGGAAACAGTCTGTAGCTGTTGGGGGGGTGGAAGGGGTCTGTGAGACTGTGACATTGAGTGTGCCTAAGCGTTGGGCAGAGGGACAAACCATTGTTGTCAGTCAGCTCAGTGGCTTTCCTGGTGTTACCCTCCCTGCTTTACAGAGACTCTGAGACGCTAAGTACCTGCATCAAGGTGATTGCAAGGTGCAGTGGAGGTCCCTCGATCTGACTTCCCCACCCGCACGCCTGAGTTCACAAGCAAGCCAAGGTGCTCTCACCCACCTTCCTCGGCGCCGGCAGCCCCTCCCCCAACCCCAGCATGCATAATGCGACCCCCACGGACTCATTCCTAGGCGCGGACTGACTACAGCCAGAGGTAATCAAACACACTCAGAATCCAGTAACGAGGCAAGGCTAGGTTCTCAAGGCTTCCAGGGCCTGGAGATGTGGGGGAGGGGAGCAAGTAGCCTGGGTAGACCACTCAGGATGCAGACTCCTCCTGGTTACTAAGGCTCTTATCTTCTTACCCTGCACCATCTCTGAACAGATGGCTGTAATTCCCTCGGCAAGTCCTTACTGATACTGTCATGCCCTGGTGAGGAGCCAGAGCCAGAGGATGAGAAGCCGGTCCTCCAGAGAAATATTCTATAGATCTGAATTCACGCCATGGACCGGTCCCCAGAAAAAGGCAAGAGGTTGCTGCGGTCTTGGGTAGAGGCCTTTGCAGTGCCCTGCTGACCCACAGCACTTCCCCACAGTCTGGGGCAGGAAAGCAGCTGGTTATTTGGACTGCCACAGCTGTAGAGGGCTGAATGGAGACCCCATGAAAACAGGGAGCCCCAATGGACGGCTAGGCTCTAAGAGACTGGCTAGGACAGAGCCGCTGATGGGTTTAAGGGACCAGGACTCTGTCCACACACACACCCCCAGGAACCAGATGGTCCCCAGGGACCTGCACACTCTGCCAGCCTCCTGAAGTCACCATTCCCGTGTCTACAATGACCAGACAGCACAGCTCTTTAGTGACTGCCCCTCTCGGCTCACATCCATTTTGAATCGCTATCAACTTAGTTCTAAGAATAATCTAGTTTTTGTGAGAATAGGGTTTCTCCTGTCACGACACCTCCCTTTATCCGTTTCCACATTTCCTCCTTTCTGTACCTAAATCAGTTTTTTGTTGCTTTCAAGGCTTGTGTAGCTCTGGCTATCCAAGAACTCTGTAAACCACGCTGGCCTCGAACCCTGAGCTCCGCCTGCCTCTACCTCCCTCGTGCTGGGATTAAAAGCATGTGCAATCACCTCTTCAGCTAAATTAGTTTTTGGGGAAAAAAAAATTTACCAGTCTTCTCAGATAAACAGCAAAAAGCAAACAGATACTGCAGTCTCAGACCTACTCAACCTCAGTAGATTATGACCACAAGAGGGCGCACTGACGTCAACATCACCTCGGCCGGCACAGTAAAGAGAGAGATCATGTGTTCGTGGGAGTCACCGAGGACAGCTTAGTAGATTTCTTTGAACAGAAATTACAGGGAAGCTGGTGTCCAGCACTGTGGCAGGAAGGACACCTGGCTCAGCCCTCCCTCCCCCATAGGAAGCAGAAGTGAACAGTAGTGGTTCAGCATGGCCTTAACCTCCCCCTCCCCCAGCCGGCACGTGGTCAGCAGCCATCACTGTAGTTCCTCAGGCTGAAGACTGTAGGAGTAAGATTATATTCCAGCTATTTTCCTCAACACTGATTCAGGCGCAGAAAACAACGTGTCTGAACCGTGAGTGTCTCCTCGTCCCCTTGGGGTCAGTACTGGGGACAAGGGCAGGGGCAATGAGCGCCACTACACAGGTAGGGCACGAGATGGTAGTGACTGATGTCACATGGTGGTGAGCTAACGAAGTGGACATCTTCAGAGAGCCCCGGGAGCCAGGTGCAACACTCAGTCAAAGCCCCAACCCTCAAAAGGAGTATGACATATGACAGGAGATAAGTCACATAACAGCCTGGGGAGCTGGGCAGTGCTGGCACACGCCTTCGGCCCCAGCACTCTGGAGACAGAGACGGTCGAATCTCTGTGAGCCTCATCTACAAAACCTCCAAAAATAAATAAAAACTGCAGGAAAAAAAACCTGTCTCAAAAAACAAATAAACAATATTAAAACAAACAAAACACACACATCCTGGGGTGCAGAAACGAAAGAAAATTGCATAAGCTGGTGGGGTCTGGGCAAACATCAGGGTGCTTTAAAATCAGTAGGTGCGGATTCCAGGGAGAAGCCCAAGTCCCCTGTGGTAAGGCCATGCCTACAATCCTGGCCCTCGGGGAGGCCAGAGCAGGATTGCTGTGAGTTCAAGACTAGCTGTGGGAACATACCAGGTCAGCTAGGAATGCATAGCAAGAACCATCTTGGTGAATCCTGAACGCTATTCTGAAAAGCCGAGACTTCCTACCCCTACACCAGTTTCTTGCAGCCACAGTGAGATGGATTGGAGGAAACTTGGGAGCTAGCTTGTAAGAGCAGGTGAAGAGGGTGTGGTAAGAAATACAGGTTCCCCGGGCACTGCTGAAAGCTGATAGGCCTCTCCAAGTTCTGGAGCAAGAGGAAGTCAATGGAGCTCAGGGAAAGCAGAAGAGACTTCAGCTTGTATTTTCAGCTTGCCTTACAGCCAGGGAATAGGCGGTTTGAACCAGACAGCAAAGAGAGGCCATTTCCACCAGCTTGAGTATGCTGTTTTGACAAACCAGTCATGGATTTCAGTGCCCAGCACAATAATACATTTAACCCCCAATCCGCTATCAAGCTTGACCTTAAGAATTGAAAATAAGCTGGGTGTCGGTGGTGCACACATTTAATCCCAGCACTCGGGAGGCAGAGGCAGGGGCAGGCAGATCTGTGAGTTCGAGGCCAGCCTGGTCTATAGAGTGAGTTCCAGGACAGCCAGGGCTACACAGAGATATCCTGTCTTGGGTACAGGCATTTAATGGCAGCAGAGGCAGGTAGGTTTCTGTATTTGAGGCTGGCCTGGTCTACAAAGGTCCAAGACAGCCAGGATTATAGAGAAACCTGTCTCAAAAAAAAAAAAAAAAAAAAACCAAACAAACAAAAAAGAAATACCACTACCAATGAAGGCCTGAAGTCTCAACCTCTGGGTTGAGACCCCTGTGGAGATCAAATGACCCTTTTACAGGGATTGCTTAAGACCATTGGAAAACACACAGACTTACATTTTGATTCCTAACAGTAGCAAAATTGCAGTTATAAAATAAGCAACGAATATAAATTTATGGTTGGGGTCACCACAACATGATAACTGTATTACTCAACATTAGGAAGGGTGAGAACCACTGGTTTAAATGAAGCTTCTGTGAAAAAGGAAGTCCTAAAAGTAGGGCCAACCCTGTAGTCATCAGTAGTCAAGGACCAGCAAGCAAACAGCCTGGGCCAGGGGGCCAAAGCTCCTGCACTTCTGGGAAGAGCCTGAGACACCTCCCAGGACTGGGGCTGAGGGGTGCTTATGGCCAGCGCTCTTCTGTCAACTCCACACTCACACAGCCAATCCTGAGCTGGAGCACCAGTGGAAATGTCCCCTCCACGGAGACAACCTCCCACCCCATCCCGCCCCAACCCACCCTTCCTCAGACCAGTGTGGTTGGAAAGAGCGAAGGTCCAATCCCAACACGAGGACACATAGATCCCTTGTTCTCCAGGAAGTCTGGCAGCCTGGGCTTCAGTGTCAGGGCCTGGAGCCAAGGTAAGGGAGAACTCAGGCCTCAGTCTTTTCCTGCCCAGGGATGCGGGAGGAGGGCCAGAAGCTGGGGGTGGTGTTGGCCAGTTTGGCAGTTCATTCCAGGGGCTGAGGACAGCGTTGTGGGGGCGGGGAGGGGGACAGTAGAGACACAGCGCTATAAAGCTGCTTCCATCTCCAGTCCTTTGGTAAGGGAGGGGAGGGGGACAGTCCTTTGGTAGGAAGAGGGGCTGGCATGTGGCTCGGTTAGCACAGTGCTTGCCTAGCGTGCACCGAGCCCTGGATTCAGTCCCTAGGTCCAGGACATGGTGGTTAAAACCCCTGCAGTACCAGCACTTGAGGTAAGGCAGGAAGGAGGAACAGTTCAAGGTCACCCTCAGGGATAGGAGGAACATTCGGTCAGCTTGAGCTTTAGCTTGTCTCAAAACAACAAAAAAAGGTGATAAAAAAAAGAAAAACTTAAGTCTTTTCAGATCTCGGTCACAGTCTGGGGTCTTGGTTCCAGACCCGTCCCTTCTCTGAGGCTAAAGGGGCTCCCACCCTCCCCCCTTATACTCAGGTCCAAACTTGGGTCACGTTCAAGTCCTAGACTCAGGCTGCCAGCCTTCCTCTCCAAGGGGTTAAAAGTCTTGGGAGGACACAGGGAGCTATGGAACAAAAACAAAACAAAACAAAAAACCAAACGTCTATTTAATCAGAGAGCCTCTGAAGGCACCTGGTTTCTGTCAGTATAAAAAGGCGTAAAATGACGAGGAATAGGAACAAGGAGAACAGGCATAGGAGGAGGGACCATCAACAGATCACGTGACACACCAGCCAGCCTTCTACCTCCACCCTACCCTTGAGAGGGGGAAAGAGCTCTCAGCCTAGGAGTGTCGTGTGCTGGTCTAGGCAGGACAGTCAGCTTTCCGTAAGAAGAGAATGTGCTCCCTTGCCATTCTGATCCCTCAATCCCAAGTCCATCCGAGGAGGAGGCTCCCTCCCTGGAGCCTGGACATCTGGGCCCAGCACATGCCAGAAGAAAGCCAAGGTCAGCTAGAAGAGCAAACCTCTGGGTCCTGCTCATCCCAGGCAGGGATGAAGCGGGTAGGTGATGCAGTCTGTCTGTCCCCGTATGGTCACACAAGTGCCTTTAACAAGAAGGACAACACAGCTCCCAGAGCCAGGCCCAGACAAAGAAAGAAGGACATGATGTTTCCCGCTGTCTCCGCCTCAGCTGGTTTGACTTTCCTAAAAGGAAGGCAGGGTGATCTTAGGACAGCCCAGCCCAGCCCTGCCCCCACCCCCCATGCATACCATCCTAAATTCCCAATCCTGCTTGGGGAAATATGTCCTGGACCAACCTCCACCCTCTCCCACAACTCAGCATGAGCACCCTTGGAAGCCCTTACCTCCACCCCTCACAACCCCCAAGCTGGGCACTTTGCCACAACCAGCTCCTTGCAGCTTTGAGATGAAGGACTCTCTGACTGCTGTCTCACTCACCCGGAGAACATCCCTGGAACTCTTAATGAAATAAATCCTACCTGATGTCCCCAAATTCCCTCCTGGTCCCACTCACTTGGGCCCGAAGCACATGCAGAGGCTGGCGAGGTAGCCATTGGAGAAGGCAAAGGCAGCCATGAAGATGATGAACCAGGCGTCGTGCGTAAAGATGGAAGGCAGGTAGTGTCGCTCTTTCACATTGCATAGCAACAGCAGGGGAATAAACACGATCCTGGAGACCACCAAAACTGGCAACCAGCGGCTGTCCTTACCAGGCTGCAAGGAACAGGTAATGCTCCAGCCCACATCAGTATCCACTGTCTACTCAGGGGCCCTGGGGACGTGGGAAAAACTTCTAGGCCTGGTCACTAACTGCCGGAGTGGAGCCTATGGGATCCTGACCCCCCCCCCTTCTTTCCTTTTTTTTAAAGACAAATTCTCACTTATCCCAGGCCAGCCTCAAGCTCACTGTTTCTAGTTCCCAAGTGCTGGGATTTCAGGTATGCAATTCCATACTTGACTTATGAGCGGTTTTGGGTCAAACTCAGGGCTTCATGAAATAAGCTAAGCAAGCAGACTTATTAACTGAGCAATACCCCCAGTCCTAAATCCTGGAATGTATCTTGTGATCTGGGTAGATATGTGCTTATGTGTATATATGGTCCTGCCAGGTTACACACCTAAGAGCCATACATGTGGGCTGGAGCGACAGCTCAGCAGTTAAGAGTGAATACCGCTCTTGCAGAAGAGCCAGGTTCAATTCCCAGCACCCACACCAAGCATCTCACAAACTCCTGTAACTCCAGCTCCAGGGGCTCTGACGCCCTCTTCTGGCCTCTGTGGGCACCTGCACTCACAAGCACACACTCCCAGTATACTCTTAGCTGGACAGTGGTGGCACATGAACTTGGGAAGCAGAAGCAGATGGATGTTTGGATGTTTGAGGCTACCTAGTGAGAGCCTGTCTCAAAAAAAAAAAAAAAAAAAAATGTAATAATATTAATTTAAAATTCTAAAACTAAAAAACAGCCATTACACACATATAAATTACATGTAGAGTTGATACAGTTTCCTTCCCACTGTATTTATTTTTTTCCCCTTCCCGCAGCCCGCAGGGTTACAGATGGAACCCAGGGGTCATGGACCGTAGGCAAGCCTTCTTCTACCAGACAGCCCAACCCCCAGCCCCATCCACCACTATACTTTCTGGGGGTCCCTCTCTGCCCCAGTTGGACACTTTGAGCCTACAGGCCCCACAGTCCTACTTACCCACATGCAAACAGCTGTAAGGCTCCGGCCTAGCCAGTCAAAGACATTGAAATTTAAGAAACAAGCCACAGGGATGAAGTATCTCTCTGGAAGAGGAAGAGAGAGACTCAGACGCAATGCCTGGCCCTCTCTGCGCCTCAGCCTCCTCACTCTACAACAAAGAGATGTTTCCAGCCAATGGCAGGGCAGAGGGGTCCCCAGGCTGCCCATGCTCCACCCCGTCCCCTCTAGACACTGGCTGAATCTGTCCCACAAGTGAGAGCCCTTACTCCAGACATTGGCGCCAGCGATGCCGGACTCCACCTCGGCAGTCACAGCAGGGAATAACCCAATGGTCACAGTGAAGATGAAACAGACCGATGAAGCCAGGACCGAGATCTGGAGAGAGAAGAGAGATTCCATCCAGGTTCCTGGTTGTCATGGCGACTGTGGGCCTTTAATCCCAGCACTCAGGAGGCAGGGGCGGGCAGATCTGAGTTCCAGGCCAGGCTGGTCTGCTACAGCAGCGTGAGTTCCACGACAGCCAGGGCTACTCAGTGAAACCCTGTTTTGAATCCCCCCCCAAAAAAAATCAAAGAATTCTCGATACGCACACATGCATGTGTGCGCGCACATTCACAGAGCATTCACAGAAGGAAGACAGAAGTTCAACCTCAGGTCGGGACGGGAGGTGGGTAAGGAGGGAGGTACGGAAGGGCGGGCGGTACACCCCAGCCTCACATACACTCTTAAGTATGGCCTTGATGGAGTGGTTTTTGCTGGTGGGCGGAGAGCTGGGAGCTGGTACTCCAGATTCCTCTCTTCCTCCTCTTGGCTCCTCCCCTGTTGGGTGAAAGGTTATACAAGGCTCTTTAAGTTTGGGGGAGGGAGGACAGAGCAATTGGAAAACTGAGCTGGAGGTGGGCATCTTCCTTAACTGGTGGGTCCACAGTTACACCCTAACACCCAAGGAGCTAAATGCCCTTGACTCAAGCCCCTGGGGGCTACTCTTCCCCCAGGGGCTCCTGTTACTCTCTCTGCTCCTCCTGAAACTGCTACCTCAGTACAAACGCCCGAGACATTCAGGGTAAGCCAAGTTCTGCTATTTTCCTTCTTGAGACAGGTTTTATGTAGCTCTGGCTGGCCCTGAACTTACTGTTCAAGGATTCCAGAGCAGGAACGAATTCAGGGCTTTGTGCAAACACTGAACTCTGAGTCCCCTAAGGGCTCCATGCTGTCTTTCACAGCTCAGTCCTATGTGACCCCACCTTACTCATGGTCACTCTGACCTCCTGGCTCATAGCTGCCAGTTAAGACAACGTAGCCACGCCCGCCCCCCCCCCTTTAGTAATTAAGACATTTACTGATTAGATCCAACTTGGTCTCCTGGTCGGAGGGCCCTTCAAGGTTCAGCTGCAGGTAGTACCGATAGAATTCCTGTTCAGCGAGGGAGATGGGGAAGTAGAGTCAGGGGCACCTCCAGAACCCCAACTAGCCATGTTTCCATTCCAGAATACCCCTGCGCTGAAACCCTGCGTCCTCCCCACTCCCCCAAGCAGCTTCCTCCATCTGCTCACCAGCCGAGGCAGAGCCAGGTAACACACTATGGCCAAGACAACAACTGCACAGGCCGTGATGAAATAGCCAAAGGCACTTTCTGACAGCTTGGAGCCGCCTGGGACAGACAGGGGACAAGATCAGACGTCCCCCACCACTCCAATCACCCTGCCCTGCCTCCCCCAAGCGGGACAGTAGGACTCACTGGCAATGGCACAGATCATGGCCACAGACGTGAAGAACCCAGCCAGGCCCTGGCCACTCATGATGGGGGCTGTGTAGTTGGCTGGCAGGACACCCGCCAGACCAAAAAGGCTGGCTTGCAAGACGGCACCAAATGCTGGGGAACAGTGTAGACAGCATGTCAGCAAGGATAAGGGCCCGGCAGTTGGGGCTCCCAGGGAGCCTTAATTCGAACTGCCCAACTCCCAACCCGGGCCCAGAGCTGCCCATACTCTGTCCCTCAATTACAGTTAATGAGCACGATCTTGACCATGGTGATGCTGAAGAAGGTCAGGGCATCCATCTCCACTTTCACCAAGATGGCAGTGACGAGGAACACCAGCAGGATGGCCACCAGGCTGCCCAGGATCCGAACAGACTGAGAGATCCTGTAAGGGAGGCAGGGGTCGGGGTTGGGAAGGGACTGAATGGAGGCGGGCAGCCTGGGGCCCCCGGGATGGGGAGGCTCACCTCTGATGCAGGAAAGAGTTGAGGCAGGTGAAGAGCAGCAGGGGCAACATGGCACACAAGGTCATGACATTGTTGAAGATGGCACTGAGAGAGCTCCGCTCTGGCGAGGACACTGTGGAGGCAGGCAGGGCCCCGGTGCCCTTGCCTGATTTGTCAGTGACTGAGGACACATTCTGGGACAGGTCCAGGCGGTTTGTGAAATACTGTGGGGTTTTCAGAGGTTCAGTGCTGGAACCTGTTCCCCTGTGCCCGGCGGCACACAGTCAGGCCTTGCAAGCCTAGGGGACATGTCCTCTGGAACCTAGTGCCTCCCCGCCCCCAGACGCACCTGAGTTGCTGTCATGAAAAAATTCCAGGGGAGCAATGTCCCCAGGCCCAGCACGAAGAAGATGAGCCATACTGCCTTATACCTGGATAGGAAAAAGGCAAAGTAACCTATCAGCCCACCTTCCCAGTCTTCCCAGGGGTCCTAGTTCTGTGTGCCCTTCTATGGAGGTATGTGGTGATGTGTAGTCCTATGGTGCAAGGCAGGATGTTAGATGGGTCAAGGGAGACAGTTCTGAGCGGCATGGATAACAGAAGCCTTCAGGCTAGGAAGCAGTGGTTTTGGAACTTTGCTAAAGGGTTGGTGGGTATATAAAAGAGCGAACACAAACAAGCCTCTCCCATCCCACCACATAGGCTGGAAGTAATTAGGCTGTCTAAGCAGGAACTCAGTAGTTCTCTGAAGGACTCCAAGGTCAAGAAACACCCAGATCATTCTGGACCCAGTGGGACAGATGGGCTGGGTGCCTGAGAAATAGGGAGCTATAGATCTTCTTTCTCCCTCAGCAGACAGAACCAGTTTTGTAGGCCAAACTACCCAGGACAGGGCAGGCCGACTAAGGCCTATGGATGCCATCTGGTCCTGAGCAGAGCCAGTGACTCTGGATAGTCCTTGCCTATAAGCTTAGCAATCCCAGTCCCTGCTCTTAGCCAACACCCATGTGCTTCAGAGATGGTGTCGAGGAAGCCTAACACAGTGAGACAGGTCTGGCCAGGAAAACAGGAGCTTAGCTCTTTGCAACGGGAATAACTCAAGTGGGCAGGTCTGAGCCATGACCACCGTTGCCTTCAAACTAACCCCTGGAGGTCAAGATGCTCAAAGCTTTGTCCAGAGGTTCAGAAGAAGGCAAAATTCCAAGGGAAGGCTATGTAGGACAGGAGGGCAGAGAAAGGACGAGGGATCTAGGCAGCAGTGTAATATAATGGGCAGAATGTTAAGGGGCTGGTCCGGGTACCAGGAAAGGAGTCAGGAAAAGTGGCAGAAGCCGGACACTCATGGTCCCAGAAAGATGAAGCTAACCAGTCAGAACAGGCCTAGTTACATAGCCTTTGGCACAGGAGGAAAGTGGTGGGCAGAGGCACTGGGCGGGTCAGAGACCCAAAGGACAAGGCAAGCAACTTTCACAAGCCTCAGCACCTCTGGAGAACTCAAGGGCCTCTTCCCTCATAACACACATTCCCAATCCTAAGCAGCTTGAGGAAGTTCACAGGCTCCTGAGAGAGGAGGCTAGAAGGGTCAGGCCAAAGAGCAGGGTGGGCTAAGATCACAAGGCAGAGGCCCCAGGGCAACCCCCAGGGACAGGGCAGTCCTTCCAGATGTGTTCTGGAAAGAGGGAGGCAGCCAAGTGTCTCCCCACCGTGGTGGCGGGAGGAGCCAGCAGCTGCGTGTAGCTACAGAGCCACAGTGGAAACACTGAGAGAATCCAGCAGGGACCGCTGCCCACCTAGTCCTGCAGGCACGCTAACTAGCCGGCTCCTGGCCAAGGTATGCAAATTCCCGGCCACACCCGATGGATCCAGACCCGACTCAGAATCACCAGCCCGGGAAGTAGTTAACATTGAGATAACTTCAAGTCCCAGATAATTCACCTAGCCCAACCCCTACCCTAGAGACCCATTCCCTAGATTCCCAGCTTCCCTCCCTGCCCCCTCCCCAGTACCTGTCCTGAGGCTGGTGACCGGTTGTCATCGTTCCAGCGTCCTCGGCTGTGCCTGGCTGGCAGCTCCCTCCCTCTGGCTCTTGCTGGGGGGGGGGGGTCAAAGGAATATTGAGGCCCTGTCCGGCTCGATTCCACACTGCCCTGGGTCCTTCTCAGACTCTTGGGGGTAGGGGCTGGGGCACACAGCACAGGCAAGGGAAGGCCCTGTATGAGCCTCTGTAGGCTCAGGACCACTCAACTTTGGCCCCAGTAAGCCTGCTCTGTGGTCTCTGCCTGATTGGGCCGCACCTGGCTGCCGGCCTGGCCGCTGCCACCGCTATTTTTATCCAGCAGCAGAGGCAGTTTATAAGCTTGGAAACCAAAGGGTGGGGATCAGGAGAGGAGGAGGCATGATTGAGAGGCAGGGGGGAAGACTGTCCAGGACAGAAGAGAGATGAAGGACAGGAACACTGATGACAATGGATGGGAGACAGGGGACAGGGGGCAAAGGGGAGGACCCAGAGGGAAGAGGTGAAGTATGAAACTGCACACAGTCCTGCAGGAAAGCAAGTCCCCCAGGGCCTGCTCACTCTCCAGGGGCCCCACCCCCACCCAATGACGGCTGGGTGGTGGCGATAGACCTTCCCATTCCATTCCCTAGAGTAACCAGGAGTCAAGATTCTGCTGGTAGCGTCTAAGCTTTTCTTTGCAACCACAGCCCAGGGGCTTTCTGAGTTCTCAACCAGTTTTCCAAGAATGCATTTCACGATGATGGGAGGGACACAGACTCTTCCATAGCCTAGCATGGACGTTCCTTTCTTTGACCCCAAGACCTGGCCCCAGGGCCTCAGTTCCTTTCCCAGTCCCAGGCCACTATCCTGTTCTCCTCTGTGACAGTGGCCTTGAAGGGCAAAGTGGTGCACGGGCCCTAACAGGGTGTTCCCAAGCTTCTGGCCACCCCCTCTGCATCCCTCTGAGTGGCCGCTCACATAGAGCAGACACACAGACCAGCCAGCTAGGCAGTTCTGCAGCAGGGAAACAGGACCAGAATATACAAGACACACCCTCGATTGGACCAGGCTCCAGACTGCTATTTCTTGTCTAGGGCAGGCTGCTCCTGTTGCAGGTTTCATCACTCACCAGACTCGTAGACTGGTCCTGGGCGGTAGGGTGGGAGCCAAAGGAACCCAGGTAGTCCCCAGGAGGGGGTCCTAGCTCAGGCTCGGGCAGAAGGCTGGGTCCTGGGTGAGGGTCCAGAGTGAAAAAGTGGCCACGGCTTGTCAAGGGAGATGCCTCAGGCCTCGAGGGGCCCCATCCGTGCAGTCACACAAGCTGAGAAGCTGGAAGCAGCCACAAAGCTGGGAGAGATAAAGGGTCACCCTGAAGCTTCGAGATAGACAGCAGAGGCAGAAGACTGGGGGGGGGGGAGCTAAGCATGTGGCACCAGGTTTGCTCCTAGGTGCAGCCAGCACTCCAGGCCCGCCCACCCAAACAAAGAGTCACAGCCGACCACCGAGGCCTTGCATTGGCTTTTACCCTTCTATTGATAAACCCCGGACTGTCCAAAGATCTTCTCAGTCCTGGGCAGCACCTCCTGATGGAGGCAGACGACTCCTTCCAATGGTTTCAAGAAGCAGTTCCTGAAGGTCTGTGTGTCAGCCAGGTACGGTCCTAGGCATGGGAAAGAGCGGTTCGCAGCGGTATGACTACTTTTTTCTAGGACAAGAAGGCTCTGCCGGGGCTGGGAAAGCCAGAGAACTCAGGTGTCCATTAGATTAGAAAGGGACCCCCATCACATTCAGCCAGCCCTCCTCAGCACAGCACTCGACCTCGCCCACATACCAGCAGAGTGTAGCCTCAAGCCAGCCAGGACAGGGGAAACACTCTTCCTTCTGAAACTGGCCTAGGCTTGGAGCTTGGAGAAGTATTTATTTCTGGGCGTGCACACGCGCGCGCATGCACATGCACACACACACACTCACACACCCTCCTTTGCAGCAAAAGCGCATGCACATGCACACACACACACTCACACACCCTCCTTTGCAGCAATCCCCACCCCACTCCTGGGCACCAATTAAAGCCATGGACAGCTCTTGGGCCCTGCCCACATCCTAACATTCCATTCACCATCTCCGTGCTTTGTTTTTGTCTGCCAGTGATTTGATAGCAGTTCAACCATGCCTTGACCTGCACATGTGGCACCCTGAAAGCCACCACCAATCTGAGCCCTTCTTCGTCCCAGGGTCCCAACATCTCTCACATATGGGTTTCTCCACGAAACTTGTGCTACGTCTGAGTCTTTGCATGCAATATGCAGATGCCGCCTCTTCCAGCTGCCCAGAGCTAGTACTAGACAGTTTCTACTAGACAAGGCCAACTGAGGTTCAGAGTGGCTGCATCACTTGACAGAAGATGCAGAGACAGTGGGAGGGGGAACCAGCATTAATACTCAATGTATGGCTTATTCTAGATTTCTTCTCGGGGTGGAGAAGGAGAAATTAAAACGGCTCCCCAGCTAGCCCTGTAGACTTCGAGGAGGGGAACTCTGCTCCAACTAAAGGGTTAAAACAAGTTGGGCGATTCAGGTCATTCTCAGCCCCAAGTAACATTAGGTTCAGGTTCAAGGCACCTCACAGCCATCCCATGACACATACATTATCGCATGCAAAGGTCACACAGGCGGGACAAGACGAACAGAATGCGCGGGTGGTCAAGAGAGGGCTGACTATCCGCACCAGGTTGGAAGGAGGGCCCTAGTGGGGTGGGGTGCGGGGGTTGAATAAGCCTTCATCCCCCGGGAGCCTGGGTGTGCGCGTGTCACTCACTCTCCGTGTTGAGTAAATGAGGTCGCGCCCAGGAAAGGGAGGTCAAGGGCAGGAGTTTAGCCTGCGAAGGCGCAGCACCCCCGCCTTCATATCAATACCCGAATCCCCATCCTCCTTGCCTCGGGGCAGAAGGCGGCGCGGCTCCTCTCGGGTTCTTACAGGGGCGGTCACTCGCCGACCCTCTGCGGTCAGTATAGCGACAGTGGCCTTCAGGCCCCGAAGCCAGGCTGCCCTGGGCCCCGCTTCCCCGGGGTCCGCACACAGGGACCACCCCCAAAGCCAGAGCCAGTCCCATGCGCGCCACGTGCTGCGCTGCTCCGCACGCGCCGGGTGGGGGCCGCAGCCCGAGTCCCCGACGCGGCCGAGGAGCTGGCAGGCCAGGCCGCCCTTCCCCTCGGGCAGGCCGGGCACGCCACTCGCTGCCCCGGAGTCGCCGGCACGACCTACCCGGGCCCCGCGAGCACCTGATGGAGAAGGACACCTCCTGCGCCGAAATCTGCGCGCTCGGCCCGCGCTTCCCGCGCCCGCCGAGCGTTTTCAAACCCGCCCTCTGCTGGGCCCGCCCCGGGCCGTGCGGGCCACCTCCTCCGGCGACAGCCGCCTCCCTGGCCCCGCCCCTGAGCTCCCCGCCGCCCCCTCCGCGGTCGTGGGCTCCCAGCCCCCGAGACCCTGCGCCTAGGGCCGCCTGGGAGGCTTGCTTTGGTGACGAGCACATCTTGGGGATCCTTCCCAACCGTCACCCATGCATGCGAGCCTGGCAGGGCGCTCGATCCCACACTGGGTAGCCCTAATTTCGGCGCTGAGCCCGTGTTCCTAACTCCTACACATTCCACGGCGGGACTCTTGCACAGACAAGCCCTCTGTTCACACAGGCCCAGACGCCCCCCCACTCCACCTCAGGTGTTCCGTTATCCCTCACCGAACCCCGCCCACGCCATCACTCACATTCCACCGTTTTACCTTGCAACCCCCACACGCGCCCTTCCATTGCAGCCTTCTTCCTTTCCACCCCTCCTTTTCCCTTCAAGAAGACTTCCCTCCCCCTCCCCTGGTGGGATACTTAATTGACTTGACGCAGGGGTGTGTTTTGTATTCTCTCCAGCCTTCACAGACTGGCACACGCACGCACGTACACACACCACAAACAACGTTGCCCCCACCCCCACCAACTTTGCCTTGAAGGCTGTTTGCTTAGGGGACAGCCCCCGAGGCCTCAAGGAAAACTAACACAGCTGGACACCGGGGAAGGGGGAGCCAGGAAAAGCCTCACATCCTCCACATCCCTTTGTCCTAGCCGGTATCTCTCTGTCCCAATCCAACACGATAACGGTTAGGACTAGAAGCTTGCTGAGTCTCCTAATCCTCCGGTGGCTTGGGGGTGGGGTGGGGTAGGCCATCACATGCCTCTAGAGGCGGGCAAGGATGTCTTCCTTATTTCCAGTTGGCAGCAAAGAGGAAAGGATTTATCCACTGTCCCTACAATACAATACCCCCACTGTCGGGTGACCCAGAGGCTGGGGAGGGTCCTGAGGAGGGATCATTCCACCCAGGCCTAATCCTTCCCGAGGGGCCTGCCCCACCTCCACCCCAGAAGTCATTGGAACTAATTAACAATTTCCAGTACTAAACTTCACAGGGGAAAGGTGCGGTCATTCTCCCTACAGAAAGACTGGGCCCTGAGGAGGTGGCTGTCCCAGGCCATTCTGGTGGGGTGTATCCAGCCTTCCGGATCCCAGAAATGACACATCTCCCCTCTAGCACTAAGCAAACAAGGCCGGAAGTCGGGCTTGGGTGGTATTTTTCTGGGCACTGTCCCACGGCTTGAGAGAAGTTGTGTCTGTCCGCAACTCCGGATCCCTGCCCTGTGTTTGTCTGGTCTCTGTCTCTCCACTGCCTCTGCCTCCTTTCTTGGCCCGCTGCCCAACACCCAATTTCCTTTCCCAGCTCTGGTCCTGTACCAGTAGCTGGCACAGCCGTCAGAAAGATCCACTAGGCATGGCCAGGCTGGGGGCCAGTGGCCTGTCCTTGTATACAAAGGACAGGAGGGAGGTGGTGAGGGTCCTGGCCAGCCTGAGGAAGGCTGGTCCTTTTCCTCATGCCCACTGGGACCTGGCCATCTATGCAGATGGCCACAGGCAGGCCTGTTGTTGTTGGAGAGCAGCCCATCTGTCAAGCTCCTTGCCTGGGTTCCATCCAGCACCCACACACCAGGCAGCCTCGGCTGGCCACTGGTGCCAGGGCCCTCTGCCGGACAGCCCTAGGCACCCAGCTCCCAC